ACAACTTTGAGGTTTGATCAAGACCAAAGCAAACAAAGAGTGAGCATGTTGATCCTGCATAACCCTTAGCACAGACATTACATTCATTACCAGCCCATCCATTCTTACAGACACATTTATCTGGACCTGAACATAAACCATTTCCAGAGCATGAACCAACAGTCTTTGAGTAACAAACAAAGTTTTCACAATTTGCACCATATCTGGTTGTATTACATTGACAAACGTCTTGAGCAATACATTTACCACCACCTGAACAAACGCTCAAGCTTGATGCAGCAACACCCTTACAAGTAATAACTGTAGTATTTGTGTTGGAATTTGAATTAATTTCACAATTCTTTCCAGTGAATCCTGCATTACATTGACAATAATCAATATCAATACATTTACCATTTCCTGAACAAACCTTAGAATTATTTGACAAGATGCCAAAGCATGATAAAATGTTTTGGTTATTGTTGTTGTTAATTTCACAACTCTTTCCACTGAAACCACCATTGCATTGACAAGCATCAATACCAATGCATTTACCGTTTCCTGAGCATACATTAGTATTATTGGCTAATAAACCAAAACATGATGGGGCAATTTCACAATTCTTTCCATTGAAACCACCATTGCATTGACAAGTGTCATTGGAAATACATTTACCGTTTCCTGAACAGACCTTAGTATTGTTTGACAAGAAACCAAAACATGATGGCATTGGTTGATTGTTGTTGTTGTTATTAATTTCACAATTCTTTCCATTGAAACCACCATTACATTGACAAGTGTCATTGGTAATACATTTACCATTTCCTGAGCAAACCTTAGTATCATTGGCTAACAAACCAAAGCATGATGGCATTGGTTGATTATTGTTGTTATTATTAATTTCACAATTCTTTCCAGTGAAAGAAGGATTGCATTGACAAGTGTCATTGGCAATACATTTACCGTTTCCTGAACATGCATTAGTATTATTGGCCAATAAACCAAAACATGATGGCATTGGTTGGGTACCATTTCCATTATTTTCATTATTTGGATTAGGTGGCAATTCGTAATTCATTGGGTAGTAAACAGTATCAATAGCAATATCAAGTTGAGCACAAATACTGGCACCATTGACAGAGATTGGAATATTCATTTCAACTGGACCAGATCCGGTATCCTTAGCAAAACCAAGCTTACTTGGAAGAGGTGTTTTGAGAGGTGAAGGAACCTTATTCAAACACAATTTAACACCAGTCATATCATTATCGAATGAGTAACCATTACCAAATAAAACACCAACGGCTGATTTGGTTGCATTATTAACAATTACAACAGTGTTAGGATTTCTAAAAGTAGTTCTAGCTTCAACAAATTTAACATCATTGAATGATACTTGAGGAGGAACAGTAATAAAACCAAATGATAAAGAATCAGAAACAGTATTCTTGTCTGCTCCAGCAGGAACAACAATATGACTATCAGTAAATGTTAAAAATTTCATATTGCTACAAGCTGGATCAGAACCATCACCACATTTACATGAAGTGAATGTGATAACATTTTCTTGCATATTTGTCAAACAGGTCATCTTCTTAGCAACCAAATCTGGCTTCATATTAGCAACCATTGTAGTATAAACCTTAGCTGGAATTTGAGATTCAGGATTCAATGACCAAACCCATTTTCTTGAGGCAACAGGTTTAGTAACATCCCATTTCAATTCCTTTTGAGAAGCCTTAACCCAGTTACCATTTCTGAAGTTGTAAACATTCTTAATTACAACACCATTTGTACATGAACTATCCTTACAAGTTGAAAGAGAATTGAAAAGACCATTTTGTGGATTGAAACAACCCTTGAATGCATGACAGGCATCAACATTATTTGGAGGAGCCAATTCCCAATATCCTAAAGGACAGAAAGTATTTGGAACTGCATTGAGAGGAACAGTGAAATTATTGTTACTAATTGAAACATTAAACTTGGCAGCAACTTGAGCACTAGAATCTTTACACAAACACATATCCATCAACTTGTCATATGAACAAGTGGCTGGACAATCTGCCAAAACAGAAGGAACAGCACAAATAACACCATGAACAGGATAACCTTCACATACACCATTAGCAGTACAAACTTCAGTTGAGTTGCAATCAGGACAATTAATATCACATTCATAAATATTATCGCAATTACTCTTAAGCATGGCTTGATTTGCCTTACCACACATAACGTTTGTTGGACAAGTAGTGTTATCATAGAAATAACCATCAGCATCAGAATCAATCATTGAGCAATTCAATGTACTATTGCAGTAAAAACAACCTTCATTACCACAGCTAGTGAATGGGCAACTGGTAACACTTTCACAAACCTCTTTAGTAACTTGTGGGACTACAGCATTAGTAGCAAGATCGATACATTTTGGAATCATGACATTGTTAGAAATAACCAATGGAACAATATCTTCCTTAGTAGAATTAATTAACAAACCAAAAACAGAAGAAAAGGAAGGAAGGGCCATAGGTCCATAATTACCCTTAGTATTCAAACAATCAACAAATTCATCTGGAGTGGATGACTTGTCACAGCCAGAACTCTTGATAATTGCAATTTCATTATCAATAGCACTTTGAATGGAAGAACCATCACACAAACCAACCTTAACTTCTGCTGNGAGGAATGCCAATGAAGCTTCAACTCTAACATCTTGGAACAATTCATATTACTCATTGAATTGATATCATAAAATGCAAAAGTAGTATCTCTTCTGGTGCAACATTGGTTATTAGAATTACCACAACATGGATCATTCTTCCATGCAGCATCAAGTGGAGAAATATTACAGGCACCTGAGAAATCATTCAAGGTAATTGGAGTTTTGTTATTCAAGGCGAGTCTTTGGGCAACTGTACAAGTACCTTCAGTATTTACATTGGTTCCTAGGAAGGCAAAGGCAGAAGCTCCCTTAGCAATTTTGAAAGCAGGTTGTGCATTAAAACCAGCATATTCAGCCTTAGCTTGAGCAGGAGTACAAAGTGGCTCTACATTATTTACAAGTGCTACTAAGATAGTAACTAGAATACACACAACAACTAGTGAGACGTAGCTCTTTAGATTGTATTTACAGTGTATGTACATTTTTTTTGTTTTCGAATAGAAGTTGTAGTGTGGCAGATTGATTTATATACCCCAACCCCAACCGGTTGATTGTAATAGAGATGATTTTCTGAGAGACGTTGTTGCTACCAATAGTTCATGTGTACAGTCGCTGATGGTACTAGATGGAGAGTTTTGTATTACATTAAACTTTTGTGCACTACAACGACTGAGAGATAGCAGAGATGAATGGCATAGATAATAGAAAAATCCATATTTGTATTCCTTTTTTGAAATGACAATTCCAAAAAACAAATTAAATCACCTCCCATCACTATTGTAATTGAAAATGGAGGGAAATATGTAGTTCAAAAAGGAGTTGTCGAAAAAGTTCAAGTGTCTCACTAACCAAATAATTAATTGATTTCTATTGAGATGTATAGGTTTCTGGTACGTTCAATAAGAATACAACACCATCATATCCACTCAATAAACACCAATTTTTGAGATCCTCATGTTTGGATGGGTGATATAAGCATCTGTGCATTGCCAATCTGATATCTGGTGTTAGCTTTTCATTTTTGAATCTAAAAGGTAGACGAGTGAATTTTTCGCCTGGGTTGTCTGCATCTTTAAAGTGATAAGGGAGTGAGTAGCATACATCAGCCTTATTTGACAATTTGTATGTCATTTCTGGATCAGTTTCAGAATAGTCATTATCATTTGTGACAAGTTCCACTTGTAAAAGCAAATCATCAACTCTATTATCGACTGCTCTTCTCTTCTTTCCCATAGAATCTTGTTCTAATGATAATACTTCTATTCTTCCTGTTGCTGTAGCAACTAGAATACTAGAACGAGTTGATGAAATAGAAATATCCCATATTGGACCATCACATGTAGAAAAAAGTTGGAAAGCATTTTCAACAGCATCAAATTGTCTAATGGTACCGTCGTGTGAAACAATAAGGAGAGCATTTGATTTTTCTGGAAACGCCACTCCAGTCATCCAAAAACGGTTTCCACTCAAAGAGGCATAATAAGGATAGAAAATATCCCTCACGTCCCAAATTTTGAAAAATCCATCATTACTACATGTTGCAAAAATATATTCGTTCATAGTAGGATCAAACCAAGAGATACTTCGAATGGATAGGTCATTAGTTGGATGGCTATGTCCAAAAACAGAGACTGCATGTTCGAGAATATTTCCCTCAGTATTATTAAGAACCTTCCAAAGTGAAATTGTACCATCATGATAACCACTCACAAAATATTTTAAACTAGGAGACCATGAAATAGTGTATGGTACCTTTAGAGAGGCATTATTTTCAGAATCATGCTGTAATTGAGAGTAAACTTCTGGTTTGAGCGATATTACAAGCCTTTCATCTTTTCCTAGTTTAATATTATTCTTCGATTCGTATTCTGATAAAATCTGTGAGTAGTGAGGCACGTTCAAAATAATGACAGTTCCATCAGAACATGCACAAGCTAATATTCCAAGTCTTTCATTTTTTACATATGAATTTGGCATCCATTTCAAATCCCAAATAAATCCATGATCGTGCTCAATATAGAATTGGACATATGGATCCCTATTCAATTGCTTATCCGAAAGTTTTCCAAAATTCCAAATTTGAATTTTTCCACAATGTTCAACATCTGAAATTGTTGGAACTTTCACATTACTATGACTAGCATCGAATAATTCTCCTTTCATTGTTGGCTTTCCTGTTTTATGAAATGATGAATGAAGAGTATGAGGTGCAATGGCAACAAGTTGTTCCTCCTCAGCTGAAGGTCGACTCACCCAATCCAAAGCCCAAATAGGTGCTCCAATATTTAACATGGCAGCTGAACATTCAGTACCAACTCTTGTTGCTGTATGAAGATCCAAATTAATTTCACTACATCCTCTTTCATTAGTATCACATTCAGTGTATCCTTTTCTTTCTTTTTGAGGTTCTGTGTTTAATAGAATAGTCTTGGAAAACTTTTTTTGTGCTTGTTGTGGAAAAGTGACAACATCAGTGATGGATATTTTCCTAATATTTACAATTGACGAAACTCTATCTGGACATGAAGATGCCGAGTCCAAACTTTCATTTGTGATATAATCAGTCAAATAACGAACATCTTTTGTTTTTTTCTTTGTTGATGACTTTTTTGTAGAGGCTTTCTTTGTTCGGGTGGGTGTTTTAGTTGGTGTTTTTGGTTCGGATTTACTTTTAGTTGGTGTTTTTGTTTTTGTTGGTGTTTTTGGCTTCTTTGTTGCTGATGATTTCTTTTTCTTCTTTGATTTTGGTTCGTATTCTTCCTCTTCTTCCTCTTCTGAATCTAATTCACTTACTACTTCTTCCTCTTCTTCATTATCGGAGGGAACATATTCCTCTTCCTTTTTCCTCTTCTTTTC